AAAGCCGAGTGTGCTCCTTTGACGTGCCGCATCTGAGCAATGAGTGCGAGAGAGAGAAAGGACAAAACAGCGTATGGACCAATCCAAGTTGAGCCTTAGTCCCCGTTTACGGCCGTTTTCTCCAGGGCTCATGGTCGGAAAGCACTCCGGTGTTTTTTCGGGGTACCCGGATTCGGGCTCGCCACTACCACAGCGGACCAAATTACGAGGCCCAGCTTGTATTTTTGTTTTTTTCGTGTGTTATTCGTAAATCTGCTAGTTTAAATTGTTACTGCCGTATAATTGAAATTTATGTCAAATTTAGCTTCTAATCGATGTTACGGTGAGTCGCCATCTTGTTTGTTAATATCCGGCCCTAAGAGCATCATGCAGCCTAAAAACTCGTTGACCAATCAAAAAGCGGAACAGTTTTCCTGTAGTAAAAAGATACGAATGGCCATACTCTGTCTATAAAGGTACTCCAGGCGGAACGCGAATGAATTTGCGAACGAGACAGAAAGCAGCCAGGGAGCCCGCTAATGTGTGCGAGAGAGACAGAAAACAACCAGGGAACCCGCTTATGTGTGCGAGAGAGACCGAAAACACCCAGGGAGCCTGTTAATGTGTGCGAGAGAGACAGAAAATCGCCTGGCGGAACACGTATGAGTGTGCGAGAGAGACAGAAAGCATCCAGGGGGCCCGCTTATGTGTGCGAGAGAAATAGAAAACAGCCCGGGAGCCCGCTAATGTGTGCGAGAGAGACAGAAAACAGCTAAGGAGCCCGCTAAAGTGTGCGAGAGAGACAGAAAACAGCCAGGTAGCATCCAGCCAGGGAGCGTTTGTCGGCGGCTACCATCCATCAATGTTGAAGTTTTTTGTTGAGTATCGCGTGTCGCATGTTCCGTCTTTTTGAGGTTAGAAGACTGTCAGATTGTCTTGTCTTCTCCGTGTAAATCGTTAAATTTAATGTTAAATTAACGTAGTCTACAAGTTAGATACCAGTATTTGTTTCATCTCTCGGACTTTTCTCAGTTTCATCGTTCTTCTTCTGTGAGTTTTACCTAAGTCGCATGTTTATCATCCTAAGTCCACTTAAAATCAGGAAATTTGATGAGAGCAGCAACGAGTACTTAGCCGCATTACTGTAACTTGCTTTTAGTCTCTTATCAATATGACCGCAGAAACTTTGATATCATATTTTCACTTGATGTAGGAAACCTTTATTCTATGAAGCTTCCATCTGAACGTCAGATCAATTCGGTTGTGTCTTTCCTACGGGCTTCTTCAAATCTTGTGAGCAAAGGAATTCAGTTTCAATGTTAGTTCCTCACATTCCTCATGTTACTTCTCACAAGATGTTACTATAGAGAGCAACTTTTGATAAATTCTACAAAGATTCTTAGTCACCTATGTTTTCGAGAAATAATTTAGTACATTTTCTGCTCACAAAGCTATCCAGTTGTACTATATATTATTTCCGGGATGCAGAAAGTTCTTAGCCCTCCCATTTTTAAAGTTAGTCTTCCCCTCTCATAAACTCCTTTTTCCCTAAAATTTCACAGAAATGACTTGTCTATGGATCTGCACACATGAATTTCCACGATAACCACGCAACTCTTACCACATGTGTCTGAAGAATGCATGATTTTTACCGCAGTTTTGGAAAAAAAAAATTGCGATTTTACCGGCTTTTCAATCTATCCTCAGAGCCTTCCCATTTTACGCCCGTCCGATTGGGTTTCACCGTCTGTGTAGTTAAGAAGTTTTTGCACCCCTGGAGTATTTCATTAAGCCTTCTTGATTTCATAATATTCCAACAAATCATTTTTACAGGAAACAATAATAAAACCAATAAAGGAATCATATCAACAACTTTCATCATTTATGATACATATTGCACATTGAAAAAGTGTTGTCAATTTGGCATGTCAGCAAGGTTTCTTGCCAGAAGTATCTAAATTGAATCAAGCCTTCTCCTTCCACCTATTGAAGTGCACTTACTTAAATTAATAACCGGTGCGCCTCTGAAAAATCTGTTATTTCTTCCACTCCATCTGAGTACTTCCCGAATGTTATGTCTAGATTTATCCCTTACACCTTACCTATCTGATGGAAGTGGCTATTCCCAATTTTTACTACAGCAGCAGCTTGTGTCACACTGTTGTATGGTAACTGTCATACCTTCCTGCCATTTCATTCATCAGTCATCCAAGATCAAGTATCACCGCCTCAAAATAAGCTTTTAAGTACCTCACTGGTCTACAATACATAGATAGGCTTGATTGAATCGATACCTCTGACAATATGCCATCCCCTTTCTAATGCGACGAAGACTGTTCAGTATCCCAGACCAAAGCATACAGGTCATTTGTTCCTGTGGATGATTCTTCAGACACTTCAGCACATTGGCAGCCGGAATTCCTTCAAATTCATTTTTGCCTGCTATTCATTTTTTATGGGAGAAGCCAATGCTTTATCATACTGTTCGCAGTCATTCTGGCCAGATTTTTAAAGGATGCTCTTTGACTGACCTGTCTGGATTTGTCTAGGGTTCAAAGATAATCTGTGAAGGGTGTTTGAACGGCAAGCCAAGCTGCTTATCAGGCCGCCTGACGTCGCGCTTGACGGGCAGCAGGTCAAGTCCTCCCTATTGTCATTGTAGAGCATCTTGGGCAGAGAGTCTCCATCCCCGAGTCGTAGAGAGTGATTTTGGAGCGGAGCGGTTGACACTTGGCAGCTTGTCCGAATTACCTCTCAAAATATTCCTGTTCACATTGTAGGGCACTTATGGCCAGGCACATTTTGGTGTCAAATCCTTATTTTCAAATTCAATCATTGGTACTTTTTCATCTTGTTCATTTAAGTATATATCATCAATGAATAGTATTTGTATTCTGTTTCAGAAATCAAAATGGCAAAAACAAAGAAAGGGTCCAAAATGAAAGCAGATAAGCCGAAAGGATCGGCCCACAGCCTGAATCCAGACCGGGACACAACTAATTTGAAAAGAGTTAGTAAACCTAGATCTGCCAGCACAATCAAACGGTTACAGATGTACAAGAACTTCAAGCCCAAACGAAACAAGAGGGGAAAAATTCTTCGTGCAGCTCCTTTTCAAGGTAAATTGCCACAAGGGACCATGGCAAGGGTGGAACCTAATCGTAAATGGTTCGGTAATACCCGAGTCATCAGTCAAAAAGCTCTTCAACAGTTTCAAGAAGAACTTGGAAAAGCTGTCAAAAATCCTTATGACATTGTGATGAAACCAACTAATCTACCCATAACTTTGCTAAATGAGAAGAAAAAGTTTGAAAGAATGCATGTCTTAGAAGTTGAAAGCTATGAAAATGTCTTCGGGCCAAAGAAACAGAGAAAACGTCCCAGTTTATCGTTCCAAAATGAGCAACAGTTCGTTGATAACATTAACACAAAGGCTGATGAATACAAAGTGGAAGATGATTTGAATAAACCAGTAGATAATGAAGGTGTGAAACGGGGTCAAAGAGATAAAATTATGTCTAAAGGCCAAAGTCGACGAATTTGGAATGAGTTGTACAAAGTTATTGATTCCTCAGACGTTGTGGTCATGGTATTGGATGCACGTAATCCACAGGGCACGAGATGCGCTCATATAGAGAAATTTTTAAAGGACGAAAAACCTCACAAACACCTATTCTTCCTATTAAATAAAGTAGATTTAGTTCCAATATGGGTGACCCAAAGATGGGTCCAGATACTGAGTGCAGAATATCCAACTATTGCCTTCCATGCCTCATTAACCCATGCTTTTGGCAAAGGATCGCTAATAAATTTACTTCGTCAATTTGCGAAGTTACACTCCGAAAGGAAACAGATAAGTGTAGGATTCGTAGGTTATCCAAATGTGGGCAAAAGCTCTGTTATCAACACTTTAAGATCCAAAAAAGTCTGTAAAGTTGCTCCAATAGCTGGTGAAACTAAAGTTTGGCAGTACATCACCCTTACCAGGAGAATCTACCTCATTGATTGCCCTGGTGTAGTATATGACACAGCAGAAAACGAGTCGGATACTGAAAAAGTGCTGAAAGGAGTCGTGAGGGTTGAAATGGTCCCGTACCCAGAACAGTACATTCCTGATGTCTTAGAAAAAGTTAAAAAAGATTATGTCATCAGAACATACGGAATCAAAGATTGGGAGGACAGCGAAGACTTTTTGAAACAGTTGGCTGTCAAAACAGGCAAATTAATGAAAGGTGGAGAGCCAGATTGTCATAATATTGCGCGTTTAGTTTTGAATGATTGGCAACGAGGAAAGGTCCCGTTCTACACTGCTCCTCCAGGTTTTGAAAATCCGCTTGATTCAGCCTCAAACGAAGAGGAAGAGAATGTAAGCGGAGAGGCGGTGTCTAAAGGAAATGAAAGTGAACTGAAGGATACTGAAGAAAAAGAATCAAATGAGACTGAAACTCAAGAAGAAAAGCCTTTAACCACTGAAGAAGAGAAGGAAGCCAAACTATTGAAGGTTAAAAAGATGAAAGCCAGTATCACTCAAGATTTCCGCAAGATCCGTGTAATCTCTGACTTTTTCGATGAACCTAAATACGCTTTAAAATCGCTCATGCAAAAATCTGAGGAAAAAGATGAGGAAGAGCAGGAATCTACCGAAAGTCATCCCATCAATGAAGATGTTGACAACGATAATGATGACTCATCCTCCAGTGAAGATGAAGCTGAAGTTCTTGAGAAACAAAAGAAGAAACGTGAGAAGGAAGAGGCGCTTTGGAAGTCAATGACAAGTAAACAAAGGAGAGCATTAATTCGTAAGCTTAAACGAAAGAGAACTGGTAGTGACTTTTATGAAGTTACAAATGTTAAAAATAGGAGAAGGAAATAATAAATCTGTTTTTTTACTGTTATCTCTGCTTTTTGTCACTAGTATTATGTTTTTTTCTTTAATTTTAGTGCCCTTTTTTTGCGCAAGATCATCACTTAACACAGTATCATTCTGCATACATCGAAAGCCTGGCGCAGTTTTAAGATACTGATAAACAGCTGCCCAGGCAAGTTTACAAGGACATGGATGCTTTTCTGAATTTTCTTATTTTCATTGACAAACTATTGATAATATCTGAATAAGTGAGAGCACAACAAGTCAGGAGTTAGTAGAAAAAAATTTATTACTCTTAAGAAGATCTTTGGAACTGAAAACCATATTCCGTTTAAGTAAATTTCGTTAATTTTTCTACAGAATGGATATAAAAGCTGTTGGTCTTGAAAGGCCAATTCCAGTTTTTTTAAAAAGAGCTATTCCTGATTGGGAAGACATTTTCTTTAAAAAAAAAAAGTGTGAAGAAAAGTTTTGGTGCAAGAGCAAGTCAAAGAATGGTAACGTTACTCAAAAGGTCTTCGTACATCCCTCTTTAAAAAATGACAGCCATCAGGCCTTGTCTCGACAGGATGTTTTCATGAGCTTTATCCCAAGAAAAAGTCCCCATTTGCGGAGTTGGAGAGGATGTTAACCAACTCGATATCAATCGCAGGAACAAGAACTATGGCCCCTGTACGCCTTGTAGAGATCTTAGACCTACTGTGAGAGGAATAAGAAGGGAAAGCAAAATTGTGATATTTTGTTGTTAACTCGGTTGTTCAAGTTTGTCTGATTCAAATAGTTTGTTAAATTGTTAGTAGTGTTCAATATTATACTAATGTCCGTTAAATACTCGGATTTGACTGATTTATTCTCCTGTGCAAAACTGTTATAACTGCGAAAAATCCCTGAAGTCTCATTCCTGCGATTTGACCCTGAGGCAAATCTCATGAAAACATCACATAGAGACAAGGCCTTATAAGATCCCAGTACGAAAAACCATGGGATTAAGCCCTGCCTAAATGTCAATATTTTTTGAGATGATGTTCTTTTACAATGCCAATGGACCACTTGACAGGGTACGAATTTAAGCATTCTGATATATGTTTCTCAACCAGAATTTCACGTAGAGCACGATTCGCGCAACGAGAACTAATAAAACAAACTCAAAATGAAGATATTAACGTTTTTATTTCACATAGGTTACGTGGAATTTGAACTGTCCGCTCACAAGAAACTCAAAGCTCTACGTGAGTCAAATCGCGCACTACGACGGGTTCAACAAGCTTCTCAACCGAGTAATGTTCATTTCCCACCATGTGTTGTTCAAACTATGAGCAATTTGCTACAGCTGAGCCAAAGCGTCAAGATTGAGGTTGCCAGATTTTCATATCGTAGAGACTGTCATGATAACGTTTAGCGCACGATGTGAATCACGCAGAGCATTGAGTTTTCATAAGCGGGTGGTTTGAATTCACGCATCAAGAATCATTAGATATCTTTGGAAGGAGTCGATTTTGGTAATTTTCGTTGTGCGCGTCGTATTCTACGTGAAATTTTAGTTAGGAAGCATGTATCAAAATGCTGAAATTCTTACCTTGTCTAGTGGTCCATTACAGGCAACAAAATTGCTACATACACTTTAGGTATAAAAAATCAGTCATTATGAGGATTCTTAAAAAGCAGCTAACAATTCAAGTGATAAAAGTTCATGAATTGATCTCTCACAAATATATCAAGAAGTCTTTGCACTGGTGCTTCTTGGCAATCTATCAAAGCCAGGGTTTTTAATTAACAAAAGAGATTAAGATCTGAGTTAACCAACAGAATTTTTCCTTCTTTAATCCATTCAGAATGTCCTCAAAATTGGGAACGAGTCAGTCATGCCTGTCACAGAATTAAAATGTGATGGTTCAAGCATAAGACTCAGCAAAAAATACAAAGGAAAGTCCAAATACCCAGTTTCTACATTAAATAATATCGAGAAAAGAAATACCCCTTGGAAAAACAGTGTTTAATATATCATCCACTGCTTTAGTACATACCATAGTCTCTGTCACTTTGGATTCATTAATTAGTGATCTGCAGATTTTCACTGATTGCTCGACTTAGTGCACAAATGAAATCATGGTACACATCACTGCAGTGGATAAAGTCATATGCTGCATTTTTTGAGGGCATATATCTTATTCATTATTTAATAATTTGGAAACTTGGGAGTTTGGACAGGTCTTATTTTTTTTTTTGTTTTAAACTTATTAACTTGAACCATCAAAACTTGAGCCGGGGACTAGCACATCAAAACCATTTCTATTTAAATCATCAATAATGTTAGAGGTATTTATCAGCTTAAGGATGGCTGTAAATGGGTAAAATTGGGTAATGAAAATTTAGAAATAGTTATAGTAGTTATAGTTAGTATTATTGAAAGTTCATTACAAGTATCAGTCTTCAGAATTTTCTCAGAAAAAATTTTAGGTATTCTCCATCCTAAACAAATATTTATATTACAATTCATTTCAGGAACCCCACTGCGTGTCTGGATTTTAAAACACAATTCAAATGAATAGTTGCATTAACAATAAAAACTGAATTTCTACCAAATCATAGCTTTCTTGTTAAAAATAAACTGATTTTGGGATAGGTATCTGCAAAGCATTTGGAAAGTAAGTGAGGAAAATTATTTTTCCTGCCAAGAGATATTGAAACAAAAGAAACTTTTAGACACTCAACACAAGGCTCCGCCAACAAATATGTGAAGAAGAGTTGGGAGTATGTTTCTTACTGACAAGGACATATTTTACTTTTTCTTCCTTGTAAATTAAACATTTAATGTAGTTTCTTTCGACAAAAAATCCTGCATCAGTATTATGCTAGTTTCAAATCTAAGTGGGGCAAAACGCAACTACGTTCCACCCACATAATAAGTATTATAGTAATGAATAAATTCAAATGCAACTTCAACCATGATTAAAACTATTATCATCCACTCTAATCTGACATGATGTCTGTCACTTAAATGTGTGGACAGTAATTCGACTAACTCAAGACAATGATTCAGCTTTTCGTTCATTATCTGAAACAAATGAAAATAATTAGATAGTAATTGTATGCAATTAGTGTGTCCAAGATAGAGAAGCTGGTTGTGGGAGCAGCGCATCAACGGCAAAGCATTGAGTTTGAGGATGGACGATGCATCAAAGAGTGTGACGAGTATAAGTATCTCAGTGTCTGGCTGATCAGGATGGAAGGTTTTGGATTGGGTACCACCTGGGAAGAGGTGACAGGGACGTCCCGTAAAGGGTTGGCGGCAGGGCTTTGACAAAGAGATGTTGCGGTGTCAGTTGCCTGATAACCTCTGGGAGGACGGGCATATGTGGCGTTTAGGTGTCGCAGAACGCCAGAGTGCGTTATAGGAACAAATATATATTTTAAATGCAAGCACTTTAGCTTAAAAACTTTAGATTTAAAGCTTCATTTGACAGAAAAGATAGATTTTGAAGGATTGATTGAATTCCATTCCCAGCTCAATCTCACTAAGCATATTAATTACTGTATCAGGTCCAAAAATGGGACATGGTCAAATCTATGACTATGGTTCACATACAAATTTTAACCGATCAGATGAAAGGAAAAGAATTTGATCCAATCCGAAATTGAAATGCTTTTTGGATCCATAACTTTAAACTTTTCACACTTCCTCATAAAACTGGTTCAACTGTTATTTAAAGCTACTTATAAAAATATATAGGTATCCTAAAAAATGATCGATCCATCATTGAGAAGGGGGCATTAGAAAAAAGCAAAAGAAATTCAAGTTACCTTGGTTCTGCGAGGTATACTAAAGTAGTTGCATGTCAAAAGGTACAACTTTTCTAATTGCTCTCGGTCCCAATAGAAATCTGGTACATCTAGAAGATCAGAGCTTAGATTAATTGAATGTCGCAGGGCAAATATTTCTCCTGTTTTGCGAAGTACCTCCTTGGGCCCAATCTTTATTCTACGACCCATTTTCATGTCCTGTAAAGAAATACAAAAAAGTATTACCTACCAGAAACCTAATGTTTTTTGCGATTACTCTTACTTAAAACTTAAGAAACAAGCGATGCGCATAGTGGGCCCTCGGCAAGTGCTAATGCGACACAAAAAATTTACAACTTTAAAAGTTCATGGTTCAAAAACAGCAGGCATCAGCGTCTTAAAAACGTATGCATTGTCATTTTTTCCTACACTATGTTCACACTGAACTAGATCTAAGGAGAGAAATCAAAAGCTTCCATTTGTTACATGTCAGCAGTTGCAGAAAAGTCAGAGATTTTTGTTATTGAACCTAGAAACTTTTTTCCCAACCCGAATTTTATATTTGTCTGTACTAGTGCTCAATCGCTTCACTGGCTAAAGTTTTCACTCTTCAATAGTCTTTCTAAATCTGAAGATCGTGATATGGTGAGATCGCTTTTTATTCACCCCCAAGCTCTCAATTTTCTACCCATTTACATACTCGCCCAACCACATAATCATATGAAAAGGCTTGAGAAATGTGAGAAGGGGAACACATTTTTAAGGGTTAAAAGTTTTACTCATTTTTGCCTCAGTCTGTACATATAGGAATTTTCAATACTAACGCATTGCTATAGACAAACTAAACAACGCAAAATTTTGAATTATTCTGAATTGATAAGCAAAATAAAAGAGAAAAAGGGCAAACAAAAAGTAATTACTTAGGAAATTTGTGGGAAAAATGTGGAAAGCCAGTACTCGGGCACACGAAAATATGGAAGCCTCAAGGCATCTGCACCCTTGGGTGGCATTTACACCATTTTCAGTGTGGACACAACAGTAACTGTAAGAGAAGCACTTCTTTGACACATGCTAAGTGAAAGATTGAATTAAAAATATGATAGAATCAGGTGGCAAAAGAAATTTACTTAGCGTACCTCAGTGATATATTCAATTGATTCAACATATTTTTCTAAAGTTGCCTCCCAAATGCCAAGTTTGACTGATGAAGCCATCGCATTGGAAAAAGTGTACAAATCAAGGTCAAAATTGCTGGAACTGTCCTTGCATAGGTAGATGTTGCCATTCATTAGAGTGCTCTTCTTCCTTTAAAAAACATTGAAAGAAAAGTATAAAATTGATTAAAAGTAAAATGAAATGTGAGAGATAAAAAATTTCATTCACTTTAAAAGGGAAAGAAATTTGAAGAAGTCTCTCAGTGAGATGATGATGGATAAAGGCAAAGAGGTCGAAAGGAATTGACAAAGGTTTAGATGGACTAAATGTACGAGTCTTTATCAATGGATGCTACTGTAATTATATCCGATGAAAATATTGCACATTTTTCATATTACGTTCACCACCAGTGGTATACCTATTCACAACGGATTTGAACCTTTATTCATCATAAATGTCCTCATGATCTTGAATCCAATTTACATCAAATCATACAGCACTGGAATTCTTCGATGACCCTTGCAGATGATAGTTTGTCCGGGGGGAACAGTACCTACCAACTTGATATAAAGTTACTTGGCACAGAAAAATAATAAAAATTTACCTGTCAGCTTCAAAAAATAAGCTCCTCCATTCTTAAAGCCTCATTTCCTCCCGATTTTCCTCTGATTACCTCCCTCCAATATAACCTCCTTCAGTGTTTCCTCCATGAATTATGGCGCACACATTGGGAGGTTTTTCAACATCTTTAATTATTTCCTAGAAATTCTAAAAATTGGGTTTTTTCTTGAGCACCTCATATACTTACACATTGATGGTGAAACTGCAAGGGTGCAAGATATCTCCGTTTGCGACGTTATAGACTTCCAGTCATGCTTTTTTTTTTTTAAAAAAAGATATCCTCAACGTCACTCTTTGAAAATTTCCTTGATTTTTCTTTTCTTTATGTTAAGAATGATCTATGAAAACAATAGTATTGCTTTGATCTCCTTTGATGAAATAAAAAGTGGGAGTAGACATTTTGAAACAACGCAAACAAGACCATGTTCCTGCAGTTACACTATCAGTAGGTACGTATATAATATAGTGATATTGATACCTTTGAGTAAGTAATATGATCATCTTGGAATAGTGTTGTGAAATGAAATATGAACAATGACTGTAAGTAAAAAAATAGGAAGGTAAATTTTTCATCTGCTGCCATACTTATGTCGCAAAAATTGCCAGACTAAAAAGACTGCATTTTGCAATAAGAAACTAATATCTCTGGCTCATTTTAGAAACAGCGTGTATGCTATTCGTTTTCTTAAATGGATAGGTGGGTGCTTTTACACATGAGCCAAAAAGTAGTACTTCATAATTGCAAGATGTAGTTCACATGCGTTTGCAACTTTAATTGGCACAGAGATGAATTGAACTACATTTCGCAATAAGGAACTACTATCTCTGCCTAATCTGTAAAAAGCACCTATGTCCACAGGGAAACTGATAGAAAATACATTTTTCCTAAAATTGGCTAGAGATAGTAGTTCCTTCTTGCAAAATTTAGTCCAGTTGAACTCCTCTCAACTTATTTTTTAGAGTATTAGGTAAACAAGTTTTTTTCCCCATTAAAAATTGAAATTCTAATTTTTCAATTTGTATGATAGTGTATTTACTATTGGAGGACCTGCCTTTGATCACTAAAGGTTCCTTCCCTTGTGGACTGTCAGACACATACAAAACTCTTCAAAAACACATTTACCATAAGGTCTAATGAAGTAATTTTTTGGGAAAAAGAAACTTTAGGGCATGAAATAGCAAACATATTAAAAGAATGGACATAAAAATTGTTGCTACTTACAGAGAATCAGTATATTTATAATGCATGAGCTCTCTTTCCGATTCGATGAGCTTTTCGTCATAACTTTGCAGCTCATAATGCTTCAAGAACATAAGAAAATTTGTATACTCTAGCTCACTCACATTCCATAAGACAACAGAGCCTTCCCGAAATATGAAAATTTGTCTGGGCTCCTCTTCAACTTGATAGTGAGCTACAGCATGGATGAAGCTGTCAGTACCTGAGGAAAAAAAGAATCAAACTTATGATGAATTTTATCAATTGAGCTTATGTGCTACGAAATATGGTTTGATTTTTTTTCTTCCTTTTCTTTTCTTTCTTACAAAATATCAAGTCAAATTTGGTAGCTAGAGCTGTGGAAAGGTCTTCTATCATCTAGTGATTCTATGAATGAAATGAATAATGTATGAATAATTCAAGAACATAAAAATATTTTTACTCAATCTCAACCTGAAGATCTCAAATTTTGACAGCTAAGACAAACGGGACCTCTTCACAAAAATTATGACTTGATAGAACTTAGAAAACACGAATCATAATTGTTGTCTTTCAAATTTCTGTTCCTTCCTCGTTTTGTTGAGAGAATATAACTAGAGATTTTCACACAAAATCTTTGATATTTTTCAAAGTCCAAGGGAACATTACAAAAAGTCCAAAACTTATTATCAGTTATCCTTCTGGAAAGTAAAATGCACCAGGAAATCTAGAACATTGCAAACTGTGATGCCAGGTTTGGTAATTTCATTGTCGAAATGTATTTGAGTATATTTTGTCGATTCTACAGGATTCAAATAATTTCAAGTATGAGTAAAAAAAGTTGGGGGAAAATTTAAGATTTTCCATGATTTTCAAAAATTTGCAGGGTCCGAAAGTTCATTTACAAACTTTTTCAGAAGACATAGCTGAGTAGGGTATTTAAAATGTATGGAAAATATTTACTTCATGGAGCTTATGACGTAGTTAGCTAATTGAGCAGAAAATATGTGGACTCTTCGCAGTGAAAAGTTACCTGCCTGAACTCCCTCAGTATCAAGGGGATGAACTTCATATAAATTCTTGGTTTCTAGACCTATTCGAATATTGTCTAGATCATATTCTTCGGCTGTTGAAAATGCTACAACATTCCAGTACTGAAAGAGAAGAAAAAAATCTTGATACAGTTATATTTATGAGCTCTAGAACTGATTCTAGGCAAAACCAGTGGTGAGTATGGCTTGACAGGCTTCATAGCGATCTTCTGCCTTTGCTGGTAAAAGTTTCGGGGCCATCTAGGGTGTTCAGCTCTGTTTTTCGGAGCATAAATAAATGTTTTCTCGTGCGTTGATGCTTCCATAAAGCAAAACTGAAAGAATCAACAGGATGTGTTGACTGTTTCTTGGTTCCACAGTGGTCCTGACTCCCCTTATTTTAGGTGCCACCATGTTCCAGACTCTTCTTATTTCACGTGCCCAAGCCCCATGTTGAAGCACATTAGCAGCGAGTTACCTCAGGAGGGCAGAACATAGCTTAAAGGGCTCTTAATCAGAAATATTGAGATGACTCGTTGTGAAAGAGTTTCAAAATATATTCACTGAGAAATGAAAGAAGAATTCATTGGTATAACAATAAAGATTCTTACCCCATGTTTGTTTGGAATTGTATCTCGGAGCTTTTTCTTTCGTATTGTGAGCCCTGAGCGTATTTTAGGGGAGAAAAGTGCACCTTTAGGTACAAATTTGGGTGATGCAACTTTTGTATTAAGAAAACGGATTAAATTTGAAGAACAACTAGAGCTTGAGAATGAAGACTCTGGCACCAAAAGACGCCATGTATAATGAGCATTTCCTTTCGACAACACTTGACACCACTTGGAGCAGAATTTGAGGGAATTCAACATAATGAATGACATATGGAATACATTAAGGCTTAAAAATATATGATTTAATCATTTATGTGAATGAATTCCAATGAAACAGCCCGTACGATGTAATGAGAAATGGTAACTCTTGACTCTTTGAATAATTGACACCAGGAAAAAATGAGTGCTATGACTTCACTTTGGTTGCTTAAAATTCTAGCTTAAAATTTTTATTTACATATGACGGTTGAACACGTAAAATTCTTCATCCTTGATTAGAAAACCGAAAAAATGTGTGCACTGTCTGACAATTTTTGATATCGTTTCTCGTTTGTTTACCTCGCGCTACCTAACCTAAAAAAGTATGTTGTTATTGTTGTTGTTGTTAGAAAATTGAGATTTTCTTTCTTATCAAGTCTCAGACCTCAGACTTATGTACAAACTTTCCAAAGAAACTTTCATACATGTGTACGTATTTTTCTCACCATTTCTTACCGCAGGTATCGTAATCGCTCAGCAGATGTATATTTAATCTTAGAATCCACATATTTGCCTACTTCTGATCCCTCTTGCTCATTTATCAGAACTTCTTCATTCCGAATGCTGCTACTCTACCATCGTACACTGCTGTAGCCCGCTTCTGCCGAAAGTTCTATCTCTCATGGTATGTAGAGCCAACTTTTTCCTAGCTAACATCATAGCAAACGTAAGGCTTTAGCACCTGGTCAAAGCCGAGTCCAGAACCACTTACTCTCGTCCAGCTGTCCATCTATTTTTTTCACTCTCTTCCCTACTCTTCCTCATTGCCTCCATCTCCACGCAAGACCTGCAAGCGATCATCAGTAAAATGATTGGTTTTTTTAAGTACCCCTAAAGCACCAAATATTTCTCTGAAGGGGCATCCATATGAAGTGATGCTATTTTGCCAATCAGAGACAGATGTTAAAATGTCCTCTCACCCACTGAAACTTTGTGAAATACGTTTAGTCCAACTGTGCATTCTGGAGGAAATTCCCTTTTCATTTTTGCATCAAAAGTGGATGCCAAAGTCAGAATCGTTTTAACCATCTAGAAGATAAAAATCATTTGTGGCGCTTAGTCAGATTCATGTAAAATCTGATTTTATTAATCGTTCATGTCTTTTTCTCAGAGTGAAAAGCCCACCTGTAATGACACTGTCTGCAGCCGATCTGTCTGTTACTGAAGTAGATAATTTGTTGTTCACGGGATGAGAATCTTTTTTTGAACAATCTGTAGATCTGTTGATGTGGAAATTAAGTTCATCTAATGCATGACTTTTGAAGGTGAGTCAATTTCGTATGCCTCCTCTCTAGGAATCCAAAACAATTTCAGTGCTTTTGTGAGTCAAAGTACCAGAATAGGTACACCTTAACCCATCTATTTATGGGCAATGCATATTTTTCACCTTGTGACTTTCAGAATCAGTCCAGTATCTTCGAGAAGAACATTAACCCCTTTAATAACCATGAACGCAGCATCTGCATCTAGCAAAACGAATTTGTCCTGCAGCTTACCATTTCTCAACAACTTCACTCAGAAATATTCTCTTTCATAGCACAATCTGTTGTGAAGAGCCTAAACTACGACTTTAGTCACTCTCTGGCAAAAAGCTTTCCAATCTGTTTGAATGACAAGCAATTTCTGTGGTGCAGCATGGGCACGTTAAATCTACCCTGGTCTTGAGAGAGATAAGTAACTCTTGTTTTAGTAGCTGAAAACCAATTATCAATATTTTTGTCTTCATTGAATTCTAAGAAAACCTGATTTTTACGTGAAAATGCTCCCTAATAATGAAGAACTACTTCATCTTAGGTAGCATTTGAAACAGATGGTCATAGTTTTTTTTACATCAGAGCCCAATTTTGTCGGTATTTTTAGCTCAAGTCTACTTACAGGATAAGCAAGTCAAAACTTCATAAAATTGTTTCCCATCTAGATGATTAATAAAACGAATTTTTTTTAAGAAAGTCATACCTTACCATTTGAGCGCTTGGCATGGTTAATTGCATGCTTATTCATGCTACCTCCGAATCTGGTAGGAGACCCTCATATTGTTTTTGAAGTATCTGAGCACTTTCTAACTCTCAATATAAATTTTTCCTTCCTTTTTCCCCCAGCAAACTGCAGAGATGCCAAATGATCAAAAATGGAAGGCTTTTCTCTCAGGACTAGGAAAATCTACATTGCGAGGAGTTAAAAAATGCCCAAAATGTGGAACCTACAATGGAACAAGGGGTGTGAGCTGCAAAAACAAGTCTTGTGATGTTGTTTTCAAAGAAGCTGGAGAAAAACGGAAGCTTTCTACCGAAGCCTGCAAACTGGTGACTGGCACTTCGACTCAGGTAAAAATAAATTTGCTGACATCCAAGGAGTCTCTTTGCATCCCCCCAGAAAATTGGTTTCTTGCAGAAAGGCTCATGTAATTTGCTCTGATTTAGCATGTACAACCCAATGCCAGTGTGCCATTGGACCTATAAGGCTGTCACTGGGAAATTAATGTTGACAAGCTGGCGACCTACTAATGAAAGCTACCATAAAATTTAAGCAAAACATTTTTTGTCTTCGGCTTTTAAAAAGTTCCTCAAATGTACTCTAAATATTGTCCTGTTTTCAGTGATTTTTTCTGGCTTTACAGGAACATATTTATGTTAAAGACATTCTAATGCAATATTTTAAAAAGGAATTAGTTCATAGCTAAAAAATTAAATGAGGTCATGTGCCATAGGAAGAAGTTTAAACTGATGTTCTAAAACTTTAATTTGAGGTCTCAAATTCTATCTTCTACTTTCAAACCATTTCATGCAGAAATAAGACTCAGCACAAAAACCAGATAGCTTCAGCAAGATATGTCTTCTATGATTGAGCTGGTGAAAAAACGAGAGTTTTCAGCCCTCTCGGAAGGAGAACTCGTATTAGGACCAAAGAACCAAGTCTCTTAGCAATGAGTGGCACAGGAATCATTCTTTGGTTCTTAAAAGTCCAGCTAGTTGAGCGATTTTGTCAAATGTTCCATTCTCTATATGCATAAAAAACTATGACACCATGGTACCAAGTAGAAAAAATATAGAAGGAAGTTGTAAATGCTAAAATTTCATTCATTGCTGTCTGAAAAAAAGAAAAGAAAAATATCTAGTATGAATTTCTATCATTAAACTATGCATGCAAATGTCTATCTCTTTTGTGAACTTTATTTTGCGTTTGTTGTGACTAGACTTTGTGACTGAATTGGTACTGGTTCTACAAAATTGGAACTGAACCAGTTTCAGCTCCACAACCAACCCAAGAATCGGTACTTGGACATGCTCCAAATCTGGTTCATAATTTGATGTCAGAACCAGAACCAGTTCCTAATACCAGCTCTGGTTCTCATTCCAGATTGCATGCCTACCAATGGTTTTTTAAACTTTGTCCCTATGTATCTTACTATCTATTTTTAAAAATGTAATGCTCTTTAACACATTTTCTAGATCTTCTCTGTGCGTATGCGTGACAAAGGACCTGACTACAGAGGTTTTGTGCAACTTCCTGTGATTCAGTCCTCTTTGGATTCTGCTCTAGACTCTGAAGAATTCATCCAGCAGACATCAGCCCTGTGCTTTGTTGATTCATGTCAGCGCATTTTTAATACTAATATTTTAAAGTGTCACGTAAGTATTCAATTTTTAAATTTATTTTCTGCGCAATTCTCAGTAGTTGTTGTGTCTACTACTTTGAAGAAAAATACAGCAAAATGATTTTATTCTTGTGTCATCGGAGTTTGAAGTATTTGCACCGATTAGAAGTCCCTGAAGGTCCGTGATTTGTACGTTGAAAAGCTATCATGAATTCGGTATGCGTTAGTGCATTTACATTCATCTGGAAAGCTAGAATTTGCATTGATCATTGAGAAACAAATAACTTAGCATGAAATTTGACAATTGTGGTAGTTAACCCTCTATGAAATGAATTCATTTTGGATCTCAGATTTTGGGGGCTTTAATCTATTTTGTAGCTCACATAGAAAACATGGAGCACCAATTTTTTTTTCAAAATTTTAAATTTTAGAGAATCAGATCTTTAAAAAAAGAAAAAACTAATGAAAATTTACAAAATTATGCCAAAGAGAAAAGATTCCGTTTTTAAAAACCCCAACAATTCGTTGTTACGAATTTGTGACACAGCAAGCAGACTCCGGTTTTTATGTGAGTAGGAAAAGCAAATTAATGTTGTTTTTCTCCAACCGATAAGTTGAATTTGAAAAGATGCAATGCGTCCATGCATAAAATGTTCTGCATAAAATGTTGATGAAAAGGCAAATATGCGGTCAGTAAAATTTTTGGACACCCACACAAACAATACTGTCAACAATATTGCACAAACAATATCGAGTTACAAGTTTGAAAACGCACAATCAATGACTGCTATCATCAAAACACAAATAAATGTTTAAGTTTTGGAGAAAATCGTCAGTCGTAATCTCATCTTGATTGTTGCATTGCTTAAAATTGCTTGCCCTGTTTTATGACACAGAACATTTAAGAAAATCCATCATGGCCAACAAGTCAATATTTTCAATGGCTGACAATCAGGACTCCTAGAGCCTGGTTCGGATTTTGAGATATCCATGGCTGTCTAAAAAAGAACTGCAAAGAATAGCTCGCACTTTAAGTAGTAGATTTTCTCCCACTAAATGTTTTACAATCTCCCTCCACAAAGTTTCAATTTGCTTATCCTCAGAAAATGACATTATATGACCCTTGTGAAGATTTTCTTTGCCCTAAGCAATAAGCGTGTCCTTCATATTTTTGCGTTTTTTCTCTTCATGTGGCCTTAAAATATGCTGACTTAGGTAGTTTTTTTCTTTTCCAGGAGAAGGATGTGAACTCTCCACCAACAACCTGCCAGCACATTCAAGCAGCTTTGCGATGTTATTCAGATGCCACTCCACTACCATTTGATAATGCTGTGTTTCAATCTTTACAGCTTCCGGCTGATGTCAAGCAGGTAAAATATTACCTGAAATTGCCTTGTCTATCGAATTCCCATCTCAAAAGTGTATGGCCACCTAAAAACAGATTATTGTCTTGGATTTTTAAAATAACATCTATACTGTAAGCTCCGAGACCTCCTAATTTTGCGTAACTGGTAACACTTAGTTCCAGCGTTCTACCGGGCCGATTTTCATGATTTTTTCGGCTATCGCCGGGCTTGTCTCTAGATGAGCCCGCTTTATTCAGATTTTCAAAATATGATCCATGTTTTTTTTATATTACAGGGAAAAGTTGCGAATTTTTCCATTTAAACAATGTAAATTCGTGTTTTTTGTCATAGTTCGTTTAAACGTTCCACCTGGCTGATTTCCATGATTTTTGCGGTTATTGACAGGTCATAGGCCCTAGATGAGCCCGCTCTTATCAGATTTTGGAAATAGGACCCAGGTTTTTTTACAATCAAGTTATAAAAGTGAGTGAATTTATAGAATGCCCTGCAACCTGCTGGCGCTATGCGCAGAAAGTTGCGCAGTGGCCGAGGAGGTTGCGCAGAGGCTGAGTATAGCCTGCGCATCAGCTCTACTTATCAACACAAGATTCGCCCCAGTCACTTCAAGATGAGCGGTGTCCAAGTCTTCTAAGACGTCAGAAGCGCCCACACGTCTCAAGATGTGGGTTCGATTCCTGACTCCTCAGCTACTTAATTATGACCCGATCAGCATTATGAGTTGTTTACCTGCAATGTTTTATTAATCAGTCATTGTAAAATGCGTCCTTTTGACTTCAAAAATTTTTTTCTTTCTTTATTCATCAAAAATGAAAATCATTTCATTCTAAAAGTAAAGTATACCTCATATCGTAATTTTTTAGGGGAAAATAAAACAAACGTTGATAGGAGGGTAAAAATAGGGCCGTGAAGCGTCTCATTGAATGCGCGGAGCGCTTTCAGGGGGTTAGGCAGCATAGCGGCCAGGGGGCATAGCCCCCTTTTATTCTTATACTGCTTGAAGTCAAAGCCTTGTGTGTGCCATGTGCATGCCCAGTGCTCTGCATGATCTAAGTTTTCTGGATGCACAGCAGTCAACCATTTCAGCCTTGGCATCAGTGACACCTACAGCGAATTTAATCAATTAGGTTGAATATTCTAGGTGAGCGCTGCTATGATTCATGTGATTTGTATGATGTTCCCATTTCTCATTTTAAGATCCAAGCCAGGGATGAATTATTTGAGTTCTACTGATTTCTCTCACCTTGCTTGTTTTGGATCACCGAAGCTATTTTCTTTAAATTATGTTATTTTTTTGTTTTATTATGGTCTTCACCTAACTGTCTTCTTGTAATTATTATGTAATTGTACATCTTGTAAATGGGTTTGCACGTTGAAAATAAAATCATTTAAATAAATAAATAAAATTCTAGAGATATGCTTTCTCTGACTTAATTTTTGGGCAGAGCACACTACAGATAGTTACAATTTATGTTTAACTTCTTTTGGCTCATGCAGCGCTTTTCCTTGCAGTTAATACTGCAAAAAACTGAACCTGGGCGTGAAGCAGATCTTGCAAGTCCAACCATGGCTGGTAGTGGGCTTATAAGGGTCAATGATGAAACTTCCTTTGCTTTTTAGAGCAAGATACTTAAATCATTTCAAAACCAAAATATTTGTTTCATTAATTTTCATTAAATTTTTCAGACCTTGTGGCTGATGGCAGCTGAATCACCAGGTCCAATTGTACAGAGAGTTTCAAGGACGATGATGGCTGTGAAATGTAACGTTAGCTCCAAACATCCCCTTGGATTTCTTCATTTTGCTGTATTTGTAAATAGAACTAAAAATAAGTTAGAATACAAATATTCGTGTGCTTGTAAATCATACATAAAAACTGTGTCTGATTTGGGTGAAGAAAACTCGAATTCAAAGCAATGCATACATTACTATGCATGTGTTTGTGCGTTTGCAAGTGATGCAAAACACAAGGAAGAATTTGCATTTCTTATAAATCCTGAACGTCAGACATTCTTACCTTTTGATCTTCCAACACCTGAATCTCAGCCTACTCAATCAGTTGAAGTACCTCTTGAACCAGAATTGACAACTGTCAATGATAAGCAATTAGTAGCCATTCTCAGTGATGTCGTTAACAATCAGTGTCAAATAGAAGTGGAAGTTTCTGCAGAGGATGCGGCTTTATTGAATGGATTTGCTCTAACTCAGGATGGATCAGTTACGCATCTACCAACTTTAGAAATGATCCAAAGTTTAACAACAGACAACCAATTTACAATCTTGCCTCTTAGACAAGACTCAAAATCTCCTCTTTTCATAACTAACATTAATGATAAAAAAACAAATCTAATGGAAGCACCTAACCCAAAAACCAATACGAAAGCTACCAAACGTAAACAAGAAGAAAATTTTGCCCTGAACTTCCAAACAGAAGGTGTTCGGCCTTTAAAAGTTGTAAATAAAAACCGAGGCTTCCTAAGAAATGAACCAGAAGTAGATGAAGAAAACACAACGTTTTCTTTTTATCAATGGCTTGCATCTGTCACAGAAAGAATAAACCAAGAGATGCACTATCAATTTGATGGGAAACCGCGCACTTTAACATTCCAAGTTCCTCATGCATTTTTTGAATGTTTACGAGAAAGAATTTCGTCTATCAGTTCCAACCGGAAACGGCTACCCAATTCCACTGTAGAAATTATACGTGACACAGCAGTCCCATTAGGCACTTTCACAAAATCTACATGGAATATCAACAATATAATCCATTTAAAACAAATCTTTGATACTCCTCTAATGTTACTAGATATCACAAGAAGTTTCGTCCAAAATCCAGATGGTACATATGATTTATTTGAAAGTAGTAAAATGATGGACAATATTGTTGTAAATGATAAAAATGTCACCCCAATTAGACCATTTGAACTGAAAACGTACATAAAAATTGGAAGAACCTCAAAAGATCAAGTGAAACCAACACCATTTATTATCGACTGGATTCCAAATATGCTACCCGCTTCGAAAATTGGTGAAATGAGATTGACCTTTGAGTATGGCCATCAATCTCCTTTTGGTTTTGGAAAATTATCATAATGATATAATCATAATAATTCACCTCTTGATTAGACATCTCTTGTCTTTGACTTCCTCATCTTTCTTGTTGGTTTTTGTACTTCATCTAAAACAATATTTTTTTCCATTTCTCCTTGCCCACACCACTGTGTATAGAGCGTATATATACGGCGTAAGTCCGCAATCACATATCTCGTTTGCGATGTCTGAAAATCTCCGCCTCTATGTTATTTTTTTAAAGGAGAACAAATTGACGTCATTCCTTGAAGTTCTTGCAGAATTTTCTTCGCACAGAGAAGAAAAATCAAGGCAATTTTAAAGAATTGCCGTTGAATAGTTTTTCGTTTAAAAAATAAAGAATGATAGGAAGTCTGAGGCGTTGCAAACCGAGTGATGTGATTGCCGACTTACATCGTCGAAATGTTGAACAGGCAGCATTGTGCTTTCATTTACGCAATCACAAATTTTGTTGAAACATTGTTTTACTCTTGAATAATTTTATTCTTTGTTATGATTGTACCATTACTGTGGAAAAAATATTTAGTAATTTATTGAGACTAATCGTAGCTGTAGGATAAGTATTTTTTGCTTTTTTCTACAGATAAGTCTGAGCGTTTAGTTCATGTAATCGCACAGGTAACTCATACTTTGTCACAAATGGATCACTCTTAATTTTAATGGGGTACATGCCAAAGATATGACAGGGTTCGTTCAAGCTGTGATATTCGGGTTTATTGCCATCTTAAAAAAGGCGTTTGAATCTCCAGCATTCATCATTGGTGGTACCAGTAGATAATAAGAAAGTTTTCTTTTTCTTTTTTTACCCTGTAATCATTCATAAAAGTTAGAGAATTTAGATCACCAGCTATTGATACAAAATTTTCTCTTATCGGGAAAGCATGAACAAGTTCTAGATTACCTGAATATGATATATGTACTTATGAATTTAAAAGTGATTTAACAATCCATTTTAAAAAATTAAAATCTCTCTCGGCCAAATTATATATCTGTTGAAGTAGGCACAATGGTGAAATTTGTGAATTTAAATCCCAGCTTGCATATTTATCGTGCCATATGTTCAATTACTGTGAGTTTTGCATAATTTGTGACTGTAATTTGACTAAGTTTATTTTTAAATATTTTAAAAAAATTTCATCAAAGCCTTGTATCCTGTTTTATTCAGACAGAGAATTCTCACTTTCATTCATAACTTTTGTTTGTTTACAAAAGCAGAGTTTTTTTTTCGTATACAGTATATAAAAATCCGTATTATGCAATTGAAGGATCCTTGTCCCGAATCAGAAGGACGAGTCTTTCATCTTCTTCCACAATTTTATCATTAATCAGAGAAAAGTCTCGATGGCATTGTTTTCATTAAAATATTTTCTAATCGGCCACCAGATAAAGTCTAAAATAGAAGAAAAGTCATACATTGTTCTTCAGAATTTTATGCTCAGCAATTCTCAAAACAGTAAATTCGGAAATTAACCCCCAAACGAGAATTCAACAAGTATTTTCAACAGCTATCAAATGAAAGTTAAATTGTACAAATGAAGTCATTCATGTCTCTTTCATTTAACAATTGTTACTTGTAAACGCACACATCTTGTTTAGAAGTTGATTTCCGGAATTCCCATTGTTGGATTAATTTTCCTCGTGGAATTTTGAAGAAGTGCCCAATGCTTTGGTCCGTAACTTGTCAAGAGGCATAGTGTCAACTGCTGAAAATATTTTTCATAAAAATTCTACCACCTGAATGCTCTTTTTACATTAAAGAGTGATAATATAGCCTTTCATGGCTACAAAATTATTTTAATTTATTCATATCTAGTACTTATACATGAATATTTTTCAGCAATTGTACTTCTTTTGGTGTAGCCTTTGTTTTACATAAACCATCTTGACACTGCTTACTGCACCAGTGATGAGAATAATATGTTTCAGAATTGAGGCATCTTGAAGCAAAGAGAGCAAAGTCCACTTTGCTGATGAGCCCTTCAACGCTAGTGTTTTTAAGTAACGTCGGGTTTATCAGCAAAATTGACCGTTCTCCCTTTGCTTCAAGGTGCCTAAATTATTTAAGGGAAAAATCCTTGAGTAACTGTTTGGTATGTTAGGCATCGAAGAAGAGAAAATCATATGTTTGTAAAAATCCCACAAAAGTGAGCGAGTTACATATTGAAAGTTTGAAATTTGAGTGCCTGATTATGGTGGAGTCTGTTAATTTCTTCCACAATTAAATCTCTTGAGGAGATGCTGAGGATGCAAATAATCCATTGTTTGTTTTTCCTTCTGTTTTCTCCAAAGTTTGCATCCTCTTATAAATTCTCTTATGAATGCGCTCATCAATTATTTTTTCTCATCCATCTTGAGCACCTAATGAAATTACAGTGACAGTTATTTTAAATTCTCCATCTTGTACTTCATAAAATTTGTCTAAGAAGTTCATAACTTCTAGACATGAACTCTGTTTTGTTCATTTGCATGACTGCTCCAGTGTAAAAATGTTTGAAAAGGCACTGAATCCAAATGTGTAAACATTATTTTATGCAGAATTTATATCCCAAGCAAAAAGGCCATTATTCATTTAATGAAAGTATATCTTAGTCCTAAAGAATGATGGCACGGACATTTCTCCATTATTCTTGTACCTCTCAAAATGTTATTTTTTTCCATGGGAAAATGTACATTTTACTGAATGTCCAACCAAAATGTTGATACAGAGTGTAAATGTATTAATTGAAAGCTAATTTTGTGTGATACTCATTTTTTTTGTTCACACTTCAAATTAAATAGCTTTTATTTTATCTCATTTCCATTTTCTCACTCATTACCTACCCAAGCTAACCAAACAAAATATTTCAATATTTCTCTCCATTAAAATTACTATTATTGTTATAATGTTTCAAATGTATTACTGCATCTTAATGTAGTGCATATCATTTCAGTAACAAAATGTTACTTGCATGGGAAGGTGCTACCTTCAATGAAACTTAATAAAATAGGTAAATAACCTTTGTACTCCTCATTCTAATGCCTACAGTCCTGTAAGCACACTACTTTGCTGCACAATCGGCCCATCCTCTCCTTCAGATCTTATGTGAGTATTTCAAAGACAATCCGTCTTCAATCGGAAAAGAATGTGTTTACCCCTCTACATGTATGTATACATAAAAAAAAAATCAGACCGCAGTTTAATTTGTCCTCATCGGTGGGCACAAGAAATGGAAATTAAATTATCCTCTTTCATTCTTGAACCCGGACTAAGTAGTTCTTCAGTGAAGATATTTGTTTAAAAAAGAAAAAAATACCTCGCATTTAGATGAATTCAACTGTTAATCAGCCTGACAGCATCACGTTACCTAACTTCCTTAAATGGTTTATTTTTTAACTAAGAACTACCTGAGAACTTCTTGGAACTTTCTTTGAATTTTCCTGAGATTTTGAAGAGTAAAGTACTGAAAAAATTTCAAGTCCATATAATGCTTATAGTTTTGTGATAAAGAAAATAGAACACAAGAAGTTATTCAATGTCTGTGATGTCTGATGTAGTCAGGTTTATTCCGGCTTGTTGGTAAAGTCATGTTCAACTGCGTCCTGTGCTTATCAAATCAGTAGAAATTGACAGTTTTGGTAAGTATTGTTCAATTATTCGACTTGCAATGTTATTAGATCAGGGTCATTATATAGTTTTCATCATGAATTGTGCTTTTTTTTAAACAGCGCGCCAATCCGTGTACTTTACTACGTCACACCCTATCTTCAAGATGGCAGCCTCGCACGAAGTTGTGCCAGTGCACCAGTGCCACAAGAGCAGGGCTCCCGTTTCCCGGAGAATTCTCCGGATTCGGAACTTTTTTCGAATTCCGGAGAATTTCCCGGAACTTTTTCAAATCGGAGAATTTCAGGAATATTTGGGATTTTTCGGAACTTTTCCCGTATTTCATCTCGATTTACAAACGAAGCGCCTAATTTGGCGGTAAAAGCCGTCGAAAGTTCGAGACAGAGATTTTATTAACCTGTTTTAATCTCAAACTTGTCGTGTCGATTCAAAATTCAAACTAATCTGGAACTTTACCAAGCTTACGAAAGTTTTAAGGCCAAATTTTTAGACGTTATTTGAAATTGCTATATTCAATGTTGCCTCTTCTTCTTTTGGAATATATATTGATTTTTTTCTTTAGACAAATGAAAGAAAAGAAAAACTGAGTTGATTTATTTATAGCTGATATAATTACGCTGAGAATTTTCATTTACTCCGTTTTTGCAGACCTCTTTTCCCCCTTCTCGAGAAGTGAAGATGTGACTAGAAAAATACCTAAATAATTCTCCAGTACTTGCCTGCCTAAATTTGTCTCTGCATTTAAATTTTTGAATTAAAGAACTGATACTTAAAAAAGTGACAACAACCATAAACGGGATCCATTCTGGGGTCAAAATTTTAACAATGGATTTGAACTGTACGCAGGCAGGCAGGCTGATGAAAGTATTCTTCGATATCTATCTCGAAGATACTTTTTTTCGGTGCATTTTTAATTTTTATTTTTTGCTTAAATATTATAGTAACAGGGCAGAATTTAGTGTGCAATCCTTTTCTTCGATTAGAGACGAATTAATGTTACTTAATCTCATTTTGATGACTTAATCTGCCAAATTCAAGCTTCCGCCTTTTCTGCCGAATTCAAGCTTCCCGCCTTTTCTGCCAATCTTGTTTTCTGAATTTTAAATTAAATCTGTGTATGTAATTTATAGCTTACGCTCTCTGCATGTCGGCAATTGTCAGTGTGACTTGTTTTCCCGTTTAAATTTGCATTTTAATGCATATTTCACGAGTAAATTACCATTTTTAAATAATCCGGAACTTTTCGGAACTTTTTTTGTAAAATCGGAGAATTTCCGGAGAATTCCCGGAACTTTTCCGGAACTTCTCCCGGAACATCGTGAATTCTGATGCGAGAGCCCTGCACAAGAGAGCGTGCAGCGTGTAGATCAAAAACGAGACGGACGAGATCGTGTTGGGAAAATTCTAGAATTTTACCGTGCATTCGCCCTCTTTGACAAGGCTGAATAAACTTTGCTATTGATCATCGAGCTCGGCTTTCTTTCGTGCGATTTCACTACTGCGATTGAGTTTTTTCTGGAGCGTCAGTGACATTGAACGAGAATACGTAACCCTCGTTGTGACTCGACTTTTCTTTGTGCAGTTTGTGCCGTCGCTCATCTACGTCCGTTCCCGATCCTTTCGGTCATCTTGTAATTGTAACTAGCACTTCCTTATTCCCCAAATTCTCCTCGCGGTAAGTCAGGCTTTCTTCCGATATCCTCGTCGTCTTAATTTTAAACTCCTGCTTGCGACCTCTTGTCGTTTTGTACAGACGAGTCTACCGTGCTTCCCTTAATCCTGATGAAACCTGATATGTAATCTAACAGACGCATTATCATTGTCACTATTATCTATCGTCAAATGGCTAGTCGGTCCTCCAGCCGAAATACTATCCTTAAGGAGAAACCCATTCCCTAATCTATTAATTTATAAGTGTACCCTTATACCCTCATAGGCATTGAGCACAGTCTTTACGAGTGGTGATAAGCAAAAGCTGCAGCGGCAACACAATCTGAACGAACTTTGAAGTTAACTCGTATTCTGCTCCTGCTCAACTGCCCAATTCTCCCAATCAGATTCCAGAAGTTACATTAAGTTTATGTTCTCTTCTTCTCTATTTTTAGCCATTCCTCCAAAAACTTGGATATATTCACAGGATTCTGTAAACTTAATACTTCCAGCTGTGTCATCGCAATTGAGTAGCTGTTGAAAGTAGAATATGCTGAAATAGCTGTATATTGTTTGTAGTGACTCATTAATTCGTCAAAGCTTCTGCTGTAGGATAGTTCAGAAGGTCTATATGTTTATTAACCATTGGTGAATTGCTGGGCTACAGGTCAGACCATGACCCGATCCCTAATAGGTTGCATACTGAACCGAGTAGAAAGTTCTAGGAGTGAACTCCACAATGTGAAGTTCTTGTTTACTTAGCAGCATTCAATCTGCCGTCCTCCTAATTCTATGCTCTGGTGATCCCTCCCATGTTCACTTCTTGGTTTTAGTCACATTAACCTCAATGCCTCATTTTTGTTACTCAGCCAGGTACTTACATAGACCTAAGAAATGTTCATGGCAAAAAAAAATTCAAAATTAGAAGAAAGGGTATGTATCAGCACTTGATCAGGAAAAATATTAATACAGCGATCAAACTCGTATCAAGTGCTGTTGGAATTATTAAGAGATCACACCCATTGAAAAGGCCCATTGCCCTACGCTTCACTTTGACACGTCTTTACTACTGTAGCAAGTGCCATGTCTTTTTTTGTAGCCAAATCCTGTCCTGTTTTCATTTCTTCGAATTTTGCAATTTTTTTCCTTGTTTGCTGGGAATGATTATTTTAACTCATACTCAAGTGTTGTCATTACTTTTTAGCAGGAAAGCTCTGCCAATAGTTCTACTCACTTGATGTGATATATCGCCTGCGAGTTCGAACTCAATCAGAGCCTGAGACTCTCGTAACCCAAATGTTAAAACTGTGGCTCATTAATGCACGTCAGCTAGGGAGAAAAAGTAATGTTCCTTATTCTCTGATCATTAATCGCACTTTGTTTCGCAGGCACTGAAATATCAGAGGTTAACAAAATGGTGGTTGAAACAACTTTCTACGACATTCTGGGTGTAAAACCAAATTGTAACCCGGATGAACTGAAAAAAGCCTACCGGAAGTTGGCCCTCAAGTACCATCCGGACAAGAATCCTAATGAAGGAGAAAAGGTAAGTAATTGCAAGTAACAAAGTTAATTTCTTCTTAATCTTTGGGATTATTCAGTAAGGAATAGACAAAACAAAAAATGAGCTATAAATAACGAGTAAAGTACACCTAGCAGTTGAATGTAAACCGACACTCCAAAAGCATAATTGCACAGTGAAGAAGATAAACTGCAAAAGGGAAATGGATGGCACCCAGCGCGCCCCAAACAGCGAGATTAGTAAAAAATGGAACTGCCCTCTTATATATCATACATGTAATGCATATTAATTCAAGTAAATCTAATTTTTCAATTTGGTTTTTGATTTAGTTTAAGCAAATTTCTCAAGCTTATGAAGTGTTGTCAAATCCGGAGAAAAGGTCTCTGTATGATAGAGGAGGTGAACAAGCATTGAAAGAAGGTGGCATTGGTGGTGGCGGTTTTACATCTCCTATGGACATCTTCGAAACAATTTTCGGCACTTCACGCTCTAGAGGACCAGCAAGAGGCAAAGATGTTCACCACCAGTTGAGTGTAACTCTGGAAGAATTGTACAAAGGATGTGAAAGGAAGTTATCTCTAGAAAAGAACATCATCTGTGAGGACTGCAAAGGTACACGTCAACTAATCTCGTTCTCTTAAATCTTTAGCTACTGAACCCTCCAAAACTAATGCTAAAAAAGGAGAAAAAAATTACAGTCCGATTTGACATTAAATATCACAAAGGAGCAGTAGCAATTCCTGCCCATGAAATTTAGGGAAGCTGAATTGTTCCAAGAGGGGGGGGGGGTGTGTCCTACACAGATTTGACGAGACCGAGTGTAGGTAGTGGTATATCAGGCCACGGCGATTTCAGCGCTAGTACGCTGCGACGCTCATTGCAACCTCCGCACAATCGTCTGGTGGAGGGGAGGAGCAGACAAGAGACTGGAATGCGACGAGCCTCTCCCCTCTCTGCCCTGCACCAAGCCTATACGCTGCTCGAGGCCGCAGTGCTCTAGGGCTGTAATCGCCGTGGCCTGATATACCACTTCCAACACATGGCAACGCTTTCGGTGGCTTCGTGCTCCTCATCGCGAACGCTAGCCCGGACGCTGCAGTGACTTCTGCGTACAGGCGGTGTTGTCCTGTTCGCATTCGCATATAGCTGCTAGATGATTCAACGTCTTTCATTCGCTCCTTGCTACTCTGCATTCTGTGAAGCGATTTTCTAATACCTGTCACTATAATTGTTATAGATTATTAGTGTTCTTGGAAAAAAAAATCATTTTCAAAAATCAAAAATCATGTCGGCCTCCTGTGGTGTAGTGGTTGTAACGCTGTTCCTATGACCAAGAGGTCCCGGGTTCGATTCCAGGTCAGGTGATCTGAGTTTGATGGTCTCAGGCAATGGTCACCTGGGGCTGGGGTAATAAGCGTGGGATTAGCCGATAGCCTATTTGAAATTGGTAAAAAAAAAAAAAAAAAAAAAATTCACATTGCTCAGGGGAACCAGTGCTTCCCTAGAGTACATGCAAAAATCGCCACTGCAGAAGCGCAGAGGAATGATTATCATACTAATTATTGGGGGAGGAGGAAGGGGACTCATAATTAATTAGAAACCAATTTTCTATCTTTCAATGCACTACCTCTTTGGCTTTGAGAGGTTTGATTTTTGGACCCTTACTCAATAGAAACTAAAGTATTAATACCAAGTAAAAATGATGTTGAAGTCTGCATTTTGACTGGTCTAAAACAAAGATGTCCTGTTTTAAACGATGCATGGATTGATAGACGAGCGCGATTTTCCAGATCGCTGCTAGAACTGTTCAATGCAGGTTTATACAATAGTACTTTTTCCCCCCACTCACAACTCACTTTTTAACTTTTTAGGTGGTCAGCCGTCAAAATATTGGAAAAGGTTGAAAAAAAAGACCATCTTTAAGGACAGCCTGTAAATTTTTCCTCTACTTTTTGATGAGTTCTTGATTTAACTATTTAATTGTCTATGGTAAACAGGTCGCGGAGGCAAGAAAGGAGCTAATGAAGAGGTTTGCAGCCCTTGTCGAGGAACTGGTCGCATCACAGAAATCCTTCAGTTGAGACCAGGAATGATTCAACAAAGCCAGTCTATTTGTGGTGAATGTAGAGGTCAAGGTCGCAAATTCAGTCATAAAGATATGTGCAGAACTTGCATGGGCAGAAAGGTACATTATCTGTTGATTTTTTAAAAAAGTTTTACTGCTCTCTAAATATATGTATGTATTTCAGAAGTAAAGTGAAATATAATATTTCATGTTCATTTCATAGTGATAATATCTCAAATGTTGCTGATACCTATCGTGAAAGTTTCAGCTAACTTGTAGAAGACCTAAAAAGAGTATTACCCAATACTAAATGAAATTGTAGCCCTCCCGACAATACTTTCCCGAGCTCATCTCTAAGTAAAGTGCAGTTATGCCTTTTTGTCAGCTGAGGAAAGAAATGCTGCAAGTTGTAGGAAGTATTCAACTCAACTAAATTCTTTTCCGAATCTCACTTGTGAATAAAAGCTTTTGTGTTAAGAGTCGAAAAAATGCTGATGAACCGTCAGACAAAGGCAAATTTCCCCAGTGGGGTCTTGAGAATAGTCCTGAAAAAGCCGCCTTGAAATTTTCAGAATTTCTTGACTAAACTGTGAAAAAAATTATCTGAGACATTTGAAGATAAATTTTCACAGGTTTCGCTGAAATTGGATGTATTATTTATAGAAAGATTTCGTTTTATCAAAGAAAATTTAGCTATGTTAAAAGGCTCTCCTAATGTTTCTCCTTACAACGACTGTGTATATTTTGAAATGTTAGTATTCACACTGTTTCAAAAACTCGATAATTTGTTTCTAAGTTGTTTTTCCTTTAATTAGCTGTTACCCGATTAAAAACTAATCAACAACATGAATCGAAATGTATAATGTATCTAGTGATCTCTAACTTTGAGTGTTTTAAATCACTGTCCTTGAAGATAGCGCAAAAAATTTCCTCCACATTGCCTCAGCTATTCATCTCTTCAGTTGCATAAGAATTTGTTCTGCTTTTATTTCTAGTTGGTCAGAACACGCCAGATCATCAAAATAAATATTGAAAAAGGAATGGTTGACAACCAAAAAATCGTTTTGTCTGGAGAAGGTGACCAAGCTCCTGGTCTAGAAGCAGGAGATGTGGTAATCATTTTGGACGAAAAGAAACACGATGTCTTTAAGTATGTACCTTTTTTTGCTCTGATTTTTTGAACTCTCTAATCTCAACTTGTACCAGATTATTCTTATTTTTGTTATTTCCTGCAAGAAATATAATATTATTTATGTTGAGAAATTAGGTGATGTTGATAGTTTTATCATTATACCAGGAAGAAGGGAAGGGTGGATTTTTAAGTAAGTTCGAACGCACCTACTCTCAGCTTTCTATGAAGCTGTAATTCCTCAATTTTAAGTTCAAGTCTTGCGAAAAGTGAATTTTAGTCATAATCTCAGTGACTGGAGTTAATAAACTCTTTTACAGCATTTTACTTCACTTTTCGACGCACTCACTCCCCATATTCTTGAATTTTTCATAACCGTGCTGTAATCTCCCGATGCCAGTTTCATAAAACTTTTTGTCCATTTTCCCCAGCCAGGTGTTGATGTAAACCTTCATTGCCAGAGTCCTTGTGGAATGCGTTTTCAGACTTTGACTGAAAACCGTCTAATGTCATTTTAGCATGGAAAGTAAATGCAAAAATCAAGGTGGTAGATCTCTCATCTCAGTCTAAAAATGAGTAAACTTATTCGGTATCAACTCTAAAACATTTGTCTCCAAGAAATTCCTTCAATTCCAGGAAGAGGTGGGAATCTCACAGGGTACTAAGTTTTTAGAGTAGGGTAGATGCAGGGAAATAACGCACATAAGCTTACCCAATGTCAACATTTGGCTGAGAAATATGGACCAAGAGTTTTACAAAACCAGCTTTTGAAGATTGTTGCATGGTCATAAAAAGTGCAAGAATCTGGCAAGTATGTCAATGAGTAAGGTAAGGTGCTGCAAGAGTCAATTATCATTATTAAATGTATAAACTCCAATTTACTTTTCCCAAGACTTGATGTCCCGCAGCACATTCAAAAAAAGGCACTTTAGAAGGAGAGGTATGTATGCTAAAACCATGGTTTCTCTACAATGCAAGAACAAATTTGAAAAACCATGTAACTTGTTAGAAAGCTGATAGTAAGTGTGTTTTAACACTGGTTTGGTCTTTTCCCTAGCCCTGATAGTTCTTGAGAGAAAAAATAGGTAATCTTACTTTAAATCCACTCTTGTAGTTCCAAGCGGAGTGTATTTTGCTCTATTAGAACTCTTGTTGTGGTGAAATCAAGAGAGAAATGAAATGGAGATAACAAAATTATTTCAGAGTTAGAGTTCAGACGTTTGTCATCAGTTATTAAACTTCGTCTTCTTTTTAGAATTAGCATAATGTTAGGGACTCTCAGCCTTAAACAGATGGAAGTTATTGCGTTCTGCAGTCATTTTATGGCATCATTACTTGTATTCCAGACTTTCACTGTAACAACCTTTTCTTTTACTCAGTTAATTTTATTTGTGTCATTTTTTTCTCCGTAGGCGCAACGGTAGTAATCTCATCATGATGATGCACATTTCTCTAGTGGAATCACTCTGTGGTTTTCAGAAAGTGATTCACACTCTAGATGACAGAGATCTAGTAATAACAGCAATTCCAGGTACTTTTTTGTTTTTTGGAAATTTTGTTTGGAAAAGGAAACTGGAATCAGAAAATTAGGAGTGTATTAAAAAAACTGCTCAAAAGAAGAAGGTATATATGTAGATATCAGCGGCAAGGTGTGTTTTGGGATATAACCATTGATCTGCCTTTTAAACCTATGGAAACATATTGATAAACAGGGTGTTCGTAACAAACATCTTAATAATCGATTCTCTACCACAGCTTCAAATGGGGCAGTATCGATAATTGATCATTCACGCTTCGCCTCTGATAGGGAACATAGAGCCAACATTCAAAGCTTCATCCTAAGATTTCTTATTAATAAGTAGCTATTAGCATCATGAATTTGCAATCAAAGCACACGGAATGAAAAAATTTTCCAATAAATTGGATTGGATATTGCAATTTATTTATTTATTCTAAGACTTTACAGGCAAGACCATTAAATAAAAAAAAAGCATAAAAATTAGTGTTAGAACAGATTAGAGAGTGTAATACAAAATTAAGGTAGTAGATAAGAAAAAGGACTATATCTCAATGTAAGTGGGGTTGTTCTAGGGATGTCGATACTCGGGGAAGTATCGATACCGGTATCGAGCATCGAGCTTAGGTATCGATACTATTTCGGAATTATGCTTTAATTCCGAGTGTGCGTATGTCTGTCGGCCGTTAAATTCCGCCAGATTTACGCCTCTCTCGAAACAGCTCTATTCGCGCCCTTAGTCAACTATTTTGAGCCCTTTACTGCAGTTATGGAACTGAGCTTTCAACATTTTTAGCGAAAGTAATCATCTTGAGAAACTTGATTACTCCGTCGCTTGTCACAGCGCATAGTGAAGGTGAAATAGTGGGGAGAGAAGTTTTTAAAAAAGAAAAAGAGGCCTTCTTCTTCTTCATGGCCAATCAGATTAAGTATCGATACCATCGATATTGGGGTCTGAGGATCGATAATACGTGGTATCGATATCGTTGAGTATTGATGCCAAGTATCGATACTTTGGAGGTATCGGTTAGGTATCAACATCCCTAGGTTGTTCCATGATTCAAGAATAACCGTGATACCTCAATTTCTTGTTGCCTTAATATCTCTTATGTTTTATTTTTTGAACAGGAACAAAACTGCTTAACCCCTCAAACTTGCTTTGAATCTACTCTAAAGTAAGAGGAATATACTCTCAAAATTTCAAGTTTTAGTTTTGCCTAGTTTTCTTCAAAATCAAAGATTGGAGACATTTAAGCCATGTTTAGAGTAGCTGGGCTTATCTGGGTTAAATGCCGTAGCCCAGCTAGATGATTCCAAGGTGGAAGTTTTGCTGTACCACCAAGAGGCTAGTGCAGGGTCTGTATTTTTTGTAGAACAAACCAATGAACAGGTTTAAATTTTCTCTTTCTCCCTCTTCTCCTCTCTTTTCCAATTTATCTCATATTGACTCTTCGTTCCATCTCTCCTACTAATTTCAGGTGAAGTCACCAAGCATGGCGAAGTAAAATGTATCATGGGCGAAGGAATGCCTCAGTACAAGAATCCATTCGAGAAAGGACAGCTGATTGTGCAATTCTTAGTTGATTTTCCAGATTCAATAGCAGCTGATAAAATAGCAAAATTAGAAGCTTGTCTCCCACCTCGGTCAGTTGTTATTTCCTTTGATTACAAATCACTATCAACTCAAATCGTCCAAGCCCTAAATAAAATTATTCCTTTCATCATTATTACTGTACTAAATTTGATAAGCATTATTCAAAAAGAGTTGGATTCCGTAGACTGATGCTACCATTTAAAAGCCATCAACCCTGAAGCTGTAAATATTTTACAACATTATTTTCTAAAATTCTGTTTTTGTCCCCAGAGCCTCTCCAAGCATTTGGTTTTTTTTTAGTTCATTATCCCCCACCCAAGTGAGACTCGCATTATGAATCCCAAGTCTTCATGGAGCCAACCGCCTGAAGTTATTTTGAGTGTCGGTAACTTCGCCGACGTCGGCTCAAATTCAGTCTAAAACTGATGTCTCATTACAGAGGAAAAGCTCACCAGAGCACATATTTTTTCTTAAGAGAGTCATACTGCTTGGCTTAATCCAAGATAAGACCAAAACTGCAGTTGCCTCCCAGATTGATCTTACTGAACAAGTATTGCACGAAACAGCAGACATTTTTTTAAAGAAATTTAGCGCTCCGTTAGGCTTATTCTCTCTATCATAAGGTATCAGTTTTATGCTGCATTCGATGGCATATTGTAAAAATTACCAACACCTTGTTTAAACGACTCATGCATTGAACTGCTATCAGATTGAAGTTATTGTGTTCCAATTCAGTCTATCGGAAGTAAAGAACTTCAAAACTTCTTGTTACATGTTATGGAGCAGGATGAAAAAATTTCATAATATTTCTGGAAAATTCAGAAACTTATGAAATGGGAATAGGACATTTTTACTTCGGAATTATGTGCCAAAGATCAAGGTCTCTTAGTTTACCTTAGTTGTACCTGGCCTCTAAAAATATGTTTAAAAATGTCATTAATATCATGAGTTTAACTGGCCCATGAAATTATTGAGAATTGCTCATGGAAATTTCCAATATTTCATATCTTTCTTACATTTTATGCCATCCTGATGTAGAGCACTGTTTGCTATTTCCTACCTTGCCTAGGAAGTATAGATTTGTTAGAGTTTTTGTCATAAGTGAATCATCAAAAGCATGAACTAACATTTAAACCTAAATTTGTTCCACCGAACTGTTGCCTTTTGCAGTATGTTAATCAGCATTTGTGAAAAAAAAATCAGATGGATTCTTTGAGCTGCGGTATAAATCTTATAGTATCTGCCTTCTTAATTTCTAGAAGTCTTTTCATTTTTACTCAAGTTGGTGCTATTTTGACTTTTTTCAGGCCTGAAGTTATCATTCCAGATGATGCAGAAGAATGCACACTTCTTCCCATGGATCCAAATGCAGATGCCAGGAGGCAAGATTCAAGAAATGCATATGATGAAGATGAGGCTCATGATGGTCAAGGTTTCAGAACAATGCAATGCGCTTCTCAGTAAAATGTTTTCCTCTGTTGAAAGAGTGAGTCTTCATCTCTACTATAATTCCTGTTTTCTATTTAGTTTATCTCTTTTGAAAGGTATTTTTTCAATTCTGTTCTTAATTTTTGATTTGCCTCTGAAAAAAATTTCCATTCATCAGCGTATTTTTGGATTTTGATGCGCTACCCCACTTTATGATAATGGTGTGCAAGAAAAGGTCATGGCTTCCGATCAATTTGAATCGACATGCCCCAATCAGGGTGACTGTGTTGATCCGGTTTGGAACTGCCCAATCATTACAAATTACCCCCCTCCTCTCCCCCTCATTCCTCAAAGAAAACTGCTTTATGACAAAAAATCCTCTTAATTTGGATATCTTTTTCTTCTTCTGTTCTCAATTGAAGTATTTATACTGATTAATTTCCTTTACATTAAATAATTATTTTTTGCCTTATTGTTTCAGGTGATCCGCATCTTAAATTTTATCTTCGACAGAGAGGACTACAGAACTTGATTTTATCATTAAATAATGGCGTTTAACTATGGATTCCTTGTTGTAATTATTTAAGTAATTGTAGGTGTAATTTTTACTTTTAAAGTATTAGTCAATCATCATTCACTTTCTTTAATTTTGTTTTATCCCATCTTTTATATAGTTTTTTAATACAATTACTGTAGTTTTGTATTTGTTAGCACCTGTTAGACCAAAAAAATCGGCTAATAACTATTGCATCAATAAAAAGCTATCATCTCAAATCACTGTTCGCTAATCGCTTGTTAATTTTCTGTAAATCAATTTTCTTCTCTACGCTCACCACAGGAAAGTGTAAATAAAAGGCTGTGATCGTGTATCTTTCTTCTTTCTTGATTGGTCAGATAAAGGATGCCTTCGAATCAAAAGAGTATCTGAAAAATTTTAAAGTACATCTCCTATCTATTGTCAAAAACTTTCAAAAGCCTTAAGTAATCTTAAATTATAGCTCTTCAAGTGACTGTACGTCAAGTTAACTACTTTTAAGTGAACATATTTTTAATGAGTTTTCTCTAAATATCATACTCTTTATTTTGTACTATCCAAATCAAATTGATTGGTTCATAATGGGCCTGGTTTTTTAAAATTTATTTACGGAAACGTACCATGTTTCCGCCGAAAATTTACTGTAGAAACATCTATTTCCAGCTATTTTCCAGACAGTTTCTGGATTCTGCAAGAGCTCTTTTCAAATGGATCATAATATCAATCAAAGTAAAAGCAAGAACTTAAAACAGAAACTGAAAATATTGAGAAGAGCCATAAAATGTTTCAGGCTTACTTAAAAGGTGGCTCAATTCATAAATTCAGAAAAAGGAGGAAAACACTTAACTATCTAGGCCAAATCTTTTTTTTCTGGGAAAAAAACAGAAGATAATGTTTCATGCTCTACAAGTTTTCCCTATACAGAAGATAATGTTTCATCATAGAATAATAGCCATTATTCTGGTTTCATGCTCTGCAAGTTTTTCCTACAAATCAAAATCTCCCTCAAAGAGCTGATCTTTTCCCCAAATTCTTCATTAAGTAACTTAAGAAAGTTCTCTGTAACTCTTCAGTAAGATTCTTTACAGGTTTCTTTTAAGTCCAAAATGTGCTTGAAAAGTCATTGAATTTATTTTTCATTGGAGCTTTTAGTTAAAGTATTAATTTTCTCAAAATCACTAATGTTTGAATGTTCCTCCAAAATAGTATTCAATTCCTGAAAAATTTGCAGCATAGAAAGTAGAGATTTTGTTTCTCCGTAACACTTTCACAATCATGGGCGTTCTTTATTTTTGTATTGGAGGTACCCGCCAATTCAGGGCAAAGGCTTTTGGTCCAGAAGCATATTTTGGTCTCAAATTTGTTCTTTCGAGCATTTTTCTATATCCCATGTTTTCAATAAGATCTAGAGAATAGTTGAATAAATCATTTTGTTGTGAAAAATTTAATTTCCAACAGACACATATGGTGAAGTCTTATGTAGCTGCCATATTTTCAAGCTACATTGCCAAATTAGTGGGATTTCCCAATTTTGCTAAAAATAGTCTAAGAAGAAATTTTGGCGCCAAATCCTGGAGCTCTGAAAATTTTGTGCTGGCAAAATCCCTTTGGGCCTGTACTCATGCACTTATCTTTAATACACACTCCAACTACAACTTTTGATTTTCGGAAGAGGGTGTCACAGTGGTCTATCCTACCTGCCATGTGTAGGCTCATGTTTATATGGACCACGTTAAGCAGAAAGGGCCCAAGTCCTATCAGCTGTTGCCAAATTTAATTGGGCAACTTTATTTTTATATGAAAACTGCTGTGCGGATTTTTAGGAAAGTTTCACTGTATGTATTTTCTAGTACAAAGCAAGTTTCTTACAATTTTCCAAGGAATCCACACAAACGTTCTCTTGTAAAAAATTAAATTGCCTAGTTACATTTGGCAACTGCCGATGTGGCTTGGTTCATCTCTGCTGAACGCGGTCCATATCGACGGTGTAAGTCGGCAATCACATAACTCGGTTTGCGACGTCTTCCTGTCATACTTTATTTTTTAAACAGAAAACTATTCAACGGAAATTCTTTAAAACTGCCTTGATTATTCTTCTCTGTGCGAAGAAATTTCTGCAGGAACTTCAAGGAATGACGTCAATTTGTTCTCCTTTGAAAAAATAACATAGAGGCGGAGATTTTAAGACACCACAAACGAGTTATGTGATTGCCGACTTACACCGTCGATATGTTCTTGATACGTTCAGGTCACCAGCAATCTTCCAGAAAATTTTAAAAGGGAAAATTTGGAAGCTCTTTAGATAATTGGACCGCGTTAAACAGGAAGGAACCAAGCCACATCAACTATTTCCAAATTTAACAGGGAAATTACATTTTTTACGAAAAAACGCCTGTGCAGATTCCTTTGCAAATTTTGAGGAATTTGCTTTGTATTATGGAAAAAATTCACTGAGATTTGCACAGAAATCTGCACAACCGTTTTCATGTAAAAAATTAAGTCGCCCGATTAAATTTGGCAATAGCTGATGTGGCTTCCAATTCACATTTTATCGAAGGCAATTTGGTTATAGCGCGGCCGAATTTTGTAATTTCAGCAGTAGTCCAGGCGCCTGGTAGCTAAAAATGAGGCTACCTGGAATTTTGGGTACACAGCGATTTTTTTGGCTTACTTTATGTTTTTTGGGTCGCTGAATCCGAATCTGAAGTTTCCGCAGGCGTATCTGGTGAGCATTTTCCGCTATTTTGAAAAAATGGCCTAAAAAGGCCTTTTTTTGCGGTTTTTTTGATATAGCGGCTACGGATGAGGAAAAGTCCCGGATTTAGCTAATGTTTTGAATAGCTGACAAAATTTGGAAGAAAATGGTATATAAATATGCTAGGTTTGCTCAAAAATTGAGGAACCTCGGATTTCGGAACTTTAGAACGCTTCGGAACTTGGCTGACCGCGGCGAGCCGGATCGCGCGTTGACGGGTGCGCCGCGAAAACGTGAATAGGCGCGATGTTCACGATGCTGTATCTTCCTCAATTTTTAAGCAAACCTAACATATGTATATACCATTTTCTTCCAAATTATGTCAGCTATTCAAAACATTAGCTAAATCCGGGACTTTTGCTCATCCGTAGCCGCTATATCAAAAAAACCGCAAAAAAAGGCCTTTTTAGGCCATTTTTTCAAAATAGCGGAAAATGCTCACCAGATACGCCTGCGGAAACTTCAGATTCGGATTCAGCCATTCAGCGACCCAAAAAACATAAAGTAGGCCAAAAAAATCGCTGTGTACCCAAAATTCCAGGTAGACTTACCAGGCGCCTGGACTACAGGAAGTACTGCCATCTGTCGCTCATATCTCGAACTCGAGAAGGTTCAGTCTGGTAACTAGCGCTCTCTGAAGGCCACAACAAAGACAGAGTGACAATAATAATGAAAATAAACCCGCGTCCTTTTTCACGCCTAACTTTTTACTAATCTTGTGTTGAAGAGAACAATTCGTGAGCAGCAGATAACGACGTTGCCCTTGCTTGCGTGTGCGTGCGCCTGTCCTTTCGAGTTCGGGTTCGAAACCTCCAATATCGCGCGTCCGCTCCTGTTGAAGAAATTTCGGGTTCGAAAATTTGATTATAGTCATCGCCGACTTCCATTCTTCAGTGAAAGCTTTTGTCGCCAATTCTGTCGACGGTCCGTGTCAAGAATTTCGCGTCAGTAGTTTCATTATTCTCAGTGAATTTATCGTATTACTCCGAAAGTTTTCGTGTTTACGTTGTGTTTCTGAGCGATGTATGCCGTGTTTATTAGGTACATACATATTATGTATGTAAAAGTTTTAATTGTTCGTCGCTCGGGTCTCCATACTTGATGGTTGACTCTTCCGTGCTACTTTTAAATAGCGCTCGTTATGCGGCTCGTTTTTTGTTTCCAATATAATCTAGTGAATCGCGATTATTGAAATTTTTGATTCATTGTCATTCATGGCGACTCATGAAGCTCCCTTGCAAGTTTCGTGTCCTCAATCCGACGTTCGCTGCAAGTTAAATCCCTCTCACAGATAATGTGTTTTTAATTCATGGTTGTCGCTTCAAATGTGTGTTGTGGTGTTTTCAAGCCATTGGATCTTTTAAAGAAGTCATGCAGGTACATACTTCCCGTTTCATACTATTCTCAATTTGCTGATATGCTGATATTTAACCTCGAAATTCTTCAAATTCAATTTCTGTTTTGTCTCCTGTTGTTATCACTGGATTCTAAAAGCTCCCTTTCATCCTGATGGAATTGAATTTTATCAAAAGATTGCTTTGACTTAAAAGCGCATTAGTTGCACTTAATGTATTTTCGCTCAATCCAACAATCATAAGTAACTGTCCTGACGATCCTTTTAGTGATCTTCCTTTGAAGAGGCATTATTTCAGTTCATATTCTGAAGCAGTTGAATTCTAATACATATTAACTCTTCACCACAACTTTAATAATTTAATTTCGGAGTATCCTCCCGCCATGAGAAGTCTTTATCCATAGTGACTGCTAGAAGTTCTGTCAGTTTGATTACCTTTGGCTCTATTGTATCATTAGACTAGGTGAGAACTGAAACATGACAGAAATGAATCAATCAAATTATTTAATTCCTCCATCAGAGTCATGTGTTGAAAATGGTGGAAACGCTCTAAATTTTTAAAATCAATTTGCAAGTGAGTGATTTGCGTAGTTTGCATTTGTAGGTGAGTTGGAACTTCCTGCTTGCCCCAAAACAAAAATCGGTTAAGTACAGAAGAATTGGAGTGCGGATCTTAAATGACTTCATACACGTATACTCACTCCATACTCTTATCACATGAATCTCTTGATATCATGAGAAGAGTTGTGCATCAAACAGGAAAAATTGTTGTGAATCCAAACGCAGGTTTTTTGCCAAACATGAAAGTTCTCCCCAAGATTTGATCTACAACATTTTGGTTGTTCGGAAGCTGGAAGTTTGAATTTACTGATTCTCATGTTAACTATAAATGTAAATCTCTCATTTTCAAGTTTACATACCTTGTGCTCAATGCGTTTTGCAAGGAAAATTTGATTTGGGAACATGTATTAGAGCATGGCGATTTTCACTTAATTTTGGTAGTCTATTATCATGCAATATTTAGCAAATGTCTACTTATTGATGCAAGTTGAGCCAGGCTAATTTAAATCACTACAGGGAATGAGAGATTAGCTTATGAATGAAGGGGGGGGGGTCATAAAGTTGGCCAAAATGGCTGTTGTAGTATTAATACCTCAATGGACCCAAAAGGGCTTTTTCTTATCTGAACCGCAGAGGATCCCTATGGAACGCATCACTTTTTGATCCCGTTTCACTGGCGTGTTCCATACCTTCCAGTGGAATGTTTGGACCGCTCTTCCAAGGTGGGTTGAGGCTGTGGTTAAGCCGGTTGAACCGCAAAGATCCTAATCCACCGCATTCCATGCGCTCCACGGATAAAAGAAAAGCCATAAAGTGATTTTCTATGCTGGTTTTTCTTTAGCAGCTGCTGCTTTCATATCCACTAATGAAAGAGCACTGTATGTATTTTCTAAATTTTTTCCCTCTCCTGAATCAGACTAAATACTATGAAGTTCGGAAAATATGAAAATCTTTTATTTACTTTTCTTGGTAAGTACTTAGGTAGGAATGGAATGTGCCAAAATTGTGATCCCATGATTTTAAAAACTTGGAGAAGAAGAAATACTTATTTGGTCACTTCTCTCAGGTGCAATCAAGCTGTTTTATTCATTGGGCATTGAAGATTCATATTCGAATCTATCAAGGACTGATTTTTCTCTGAGCATCCACTGTTCCTTGTGCTCTAGGTACATGAAAAAGACCCCCAATTTTTGCTTTTGTCGTGCATGCTTTATTTACTCAAGACATGTCAGATAGGTCATACTGTGCTCTTGCAATTTATTAAATTGGGTTTGGAAAACTATATTACCAAACAACAAAGTAGCAAAAAATTTTAGTAATTACCAACTCATTAACCTGTAGTTTATTTCAAGACTGTAATATCAATTCTCTGTCTTTTTCAGTGCTTGTGGAATGGCTCCAGCGCATCCAGTGCAGGATTTACTTCACACGCTTTTTCCGCAACTGCAGTTTACTCAGTGGCCGCAACCCAGCCCAAAATTACGCTTGTCCTCTCGATTAAGAGCACAAGAACGATCAGCGGGAAAGCAGAATTCATGGATTACTGTGTCTGAGACTTTTAACAAAGAATACCAGAGTTCTCTGGTATCTGTAATGAGTTGTGGTTTTGAGGGTGTGACCACCAGTTCATGGCAAAGTCTTAAGATCTTAAATCAGTTTTTTCATGTCATGGTTTCAACTTGTGTGGTATGGCTCCATTGCATTCAATGCAGCAAATCACTGCCAAGGAACCGCAGCAGTCACAATTGTCTCAACAACAGCAGCAGTCACCACAACAACAACAACAGCAGCAGTTGCCGCAACCTCCTCAGCAATCTCTGGCACCCCTTCAGTCTTCCGCTTTTCAGCAACAGACTGCGCAGCTGAATTCATTTCCTCAGACACTTCAAAATTTCAAGAAAAACTCTGTTTTTGTGATGAGTAGTACTGAAAATACCCAAATTACTAGTTCTGTGAATAATTTTTCGCGTCAGGAAATTCTACCCTCAGGTGAATCGGCAGAATCCAGCTGTAGCAGTTTAAGTTCAATAGGTGATGGAACAGAATACAATAATGCAAATGTTCCGAATAACCGTACGTTCGTTGTGAATTTTAACAATAGCAATAGTAGTAATGTTAAAAGTAGTTCCGCATTCGGTCAGATCAAAAGTGCGAATTCACCCCCGTACAGTGGCGTAAGTGTAGTGAAAGTGTCTGAACCAGTCGGTGGTGCTACCAGTAGGATAACTCAACTCAATTACAACATTGTAACCATAAATGGAGTTCCAACTATCTCTGTACCGCATGGATGGAAACGCCTAAATGCAAATGGAACAATCATCTATGTTAGGTAAGGATTTTTCACCTTTTTGCATGAAAGACAGCAAAATTGCTAAAGATTTGCTTTTAAGATTGCCAAAAGGTTGCAATCATTTTGGTAAAAGTAGACCAATAGAGGCCATATCATTCAAGATAGACGCATCATAGGTGAATAAATCCACTCAAAATAAAAGGGGCAAAATGAAGGATATTTGTACCATCTACCTCTCTCGGTCAGACCTGTGAATCCACCGGACCTTGCAAAGTTGAACTAAGAGATAGGTGGAGCAGAGTAAGCCTCCATGGAAAGCCAATTGGTAGGCCCCACTCATCCTTTTTTCCATAGGAAACAGAGGAAATACTTAAAACTAGATGAAAGCTAGGCAGCAATAGAAAGAGTCCAAGCATCTCCAAAAATTTCCCAAAAAGCAATCCCTCCTTCCCCCTATAATTTAGGATGCAGATAATTAACTGCTGTTTTTGTTGGGAGCAGGGGCGGTCTGGCCTCCTGGGGTGCTGAAATTCTGTCAGTTGGCTGAGGGGGCCCCAGCAGGACTCCTGTAGGGGTCCCAAAAACTTAGATACCCCTTTTAAAGGAGGGCTTTTGATTGGTTGGGGGGGGGGCACTTGAGAGAAGGGGCCTCTTAAACTTATTCACAGCCCAAGAATTTTCCAGCCAGACGGACACTCGTCGGGTGCAAATATAGCTCATTCTTGACCTCTTATTTACTTTTTTTCTGCTTTTGGAAATTTTAAAATCTTCAATTAGCAGAAGAATACAGAGAGATTGCTTGAGCTTTCCCCCACCCCACCCCCCTTATCCGCTTGAAAGTTTGATTTACTTATCTGCTGGTAAACGAATGGATGCATGAGATCCACCCAATCCCCACAGCTTGCCCTAAAGGTTTATCCTCCTCTTCTCAATAGAAGAACCCGTTCACACAGGGCCGGATTAAGGGGGTGGCCACATGGGCCGCGGCCCATGGCGGCAAATCTAGGACGCGGCAAATTTTGCAATTTTTTTAAATGTAGGTATGAAAAAAAATCGGATTTAGAAAAAAATTACAGTATATAATAATTGCGAGTATAGTAATTTCTAATTTTGTCGTCTTTCGGTGATGCAAGAGACAGCAGCTTTAATTAATCGAGTTAAGAGAGAGACCAAACACGCAATTTGGCCCGGAACGGCGCGACTGAGAGAGAAATGATGACGAGGTCTTGAGGTGAAAAGGAGGAGCTCTCGGCCTCGGCGCTGCGGTCGGCATGTAACACATATTAGCGCCTTCATTCCTACAAGACTGCACGAATAATCCACGTATTGCATCAAACACAGTCCGGTCACTGATGTCAGCGTGAAACGGATAGCGCCTACAAGAATGCATGAATACTTCACGCATTGCGCCAAACACAGTGCGGTCAACGTGAAACGCATAGCGCCTACAAGACTGCGTGAATACTTCACGCATTGTGTCAAACACAGTGCGTTCAGCAGCGGTCGTCGGCGTGAAACTCATAGCGCCCTCTAAACTGTCGGAATACTTCACGCATTGCTCCAAAAACGGTGCGGTCTGTGCTACGCGGCGGCGGAAGTTAAAATCATTAAACCACATTTATGTTTGTTCTTTCATAATTTTTTTGTTCATTTCTTATGAATGGAAGGCCTTGTCCACGCGGAGATAGGTTTACGAAACTTAACGTTTGCGCAAAGTTCGGTGAATTGTTGCTAGTAGTGTTGGCAGGACTTTCCCAAAAAATGTTTCCAACACGAGTAAACGCGTCTTATGCACCCCACCCCCACTGGCACGTTCACTTGATGCTTTTTATTGATGTTCCAAAACGAATGAGAAAGGGCGGCAAAACACAGGCGGCCCCTGGGCGGCAAGTAGGTAAATCCGGCCCTGCGCTCACATGAAGAAGCCACAGCCTAATGTATCCCTTATACTTACTGAAAGTTAGAACAGGTAATGAATTAGCAAAGATTTTAGATGATGATGTACCAGTAGACACATTAACCATGATCCTTGAAAAAGGATAAAGCAAGACAGGAAATTTTCAACATCCCACACAACTGAGTTTCGTAGTTTTGTGGTTTCATCGTCGATATATTCGATGGCGGGTGATGAGCAGCACTGCCGTGCTAAGGAAGAACACCGTATGAACATTCGAGAGTTGTCAAATTTCTCCTGGTAGAGCATGTATTATTGAGGAAATGTATGGGTATTTTTCCTTGAAATTTTTGAAATAGGTATTATAGGTTAAATTGCGGAAATAATTTTCTGAAAAATTTGGAGTTGTTAATTAGCGATTTTCCAAGTAAATTCGATTTTTATTGAAGAAAAGATGGCAACGTCTGACGGCGTTTTCCCTCGGCATGGCAGAGCAGTCATCCACCGCTTTACCTAGGCAATATTTTTGGAGTCGGTCGGTTGTTGGATCGTAGTGACGGAGCCCTAATAGTACTAACAATAGACGAATCAACCCCCTCTCGTGACGTGTGGCGCGTCGCGTCGCAGGGATGTTATTTCCGGGTCCCCCCCTCCCTCCCCCCTCTGGATCCCGATTAGGTTGCGATGCATCGGCTCGCGTTCCTGCTCCTCAATCACCCTTCGCCCTAGAGCAAGATCCCTCCTTGTTACACTTTCGAGAAAGGTTGCCAAATGTGGACCGAGAAAGAAGGTTTTAAGTGGTATCCTGCCGTGCTACGTAATGGAGTCCCTTTATACTGAGAGTCAAGACAATTCGGCTCATGGATGTCACAAACGGGAATAAAGATTACAGAAATTGAACGTTTTTCGTAATCTTTGATCGGCCCATTCTCAAATGCCTTTCTCCGTTCCTCCTCTCATTCCGGTTGTTCCTTGCCGAACCCGTAATTCCCTGGTCCATTCCAGATTATAATCTTTGCAATTGGTGAAAATGTAATCTTTATTCCCGTTTGTGACACCGTGGAGGCCTAAAATACGGGAACCAATCAGAAATGGATTCAAATTGTCTTGACTCTCAGTATAAAGGGACTCTACTAAGGAAGAACGCCGTATGAGCCTTCAGACGTTGCCGAATTCCCTTAGATGAAATATGAATTTTCAGGATAATCCATGAATATTTTTCCTCGAATTTTTCAGAGCATTTTATTCGAAATCGATCTGAATTATCTGAAAATTTCAAGAGAAAATATCTTCAAAAATGAACGTTTTATCGGAGGAAGTTTGGCAACTCCCGAATGTTTTACAGTATTCCTCACCATCGTTTTAAGTAAACGTTAAACTCTATTTTCTCATTAAAAATATTTTCGCTCTAGGTAGGTATCCAAAATTTTAGAGACGCGATAATTTATGACCGGTTAAGCTAAAAACCGCGGTCGATAATTTTTTTTTTCTTTCCATGTGGCTTTTTCCTTTTTTTCAATCTGGTTCAGTAGAAACGCAGGTGTTGCCAACATCATGCGACTGTTCCTTTCATCGGGATTTGTATCATCTCTGTTTAGTGTTCCTTTATTTAACCTGGAGGATTCTCCAGGCAGGAAGGAAAGAATGAATATAAAAGGCCTTCAAGTTCACAGCACGGTAGAGGAATACAAACCCTCGCTGTGATTGAGTGTCCAACAAATCCACACCCGGAATCTCGACGAAAATTAGAGGAAGTTCGCCTGAAAATCTCCCGAAAAAAAAGAGGCATTTAGTTCCTTTACGCCGAGAAACAACATCCACAATGCCAGCAGTGTTCTGCCTTCTCCGGGTGCCGCGCGCCAAATTCGCGTCGAAATCAGGCTCTATAGCGCCTAAAAATTGGGGGATTGGGGAATCATGGCGCCTAAAAGAATTGACGCACTCCATCGATGTTTTCAAATTCGCAGTTTTGGAACAGGAGCGGTATCGTATGATACGTAGGCAAGAAGTTGAATTGATTGAACATTTTAAATGAATGAAAATTGCGCTTTTCGGCTAACAATCAGTCAGAACCTAAAATATCAGAGGGAAGGCAGAACACTGAATTCTAGCCGTATCCGATGGGGGTGAAGATGTTTTAATTTAGACGCTCAATGTGAACGCCCACGAGTCGTTGCCTCTGCCGAAGACTCTAAATGAATTTCCATTTAATATTTATTTTTCCTGACGAATTTGCATCGAATTTGATAGCATTTTCAAAGGTTGTGTACCTCTCTATTGCGAGACAAACCAATGACAGTCGTGTAATCCTCAAATCCAACACCAGCGTAGAGTCTCTTCATAGCATTCACCCAATCTCCTTGTATTATGCAAATACTGAAAACATTAACAACGTTTGATAGGGCGGATAAAATCGTCATGTATCAATGCTCACTGAACTACCTGGTGTTTCAAAATACCAAGAAAAAAAACCAGCATGCCCCCGTATCCAGCGATACCGATCATCTCACAATGGGTCCCGGAAAAAATGAAGATAGAAATTAAAAAAAAGGGTAGGGACAGAAAGGAAAAAACTTGAAAAAGAGGCGATGATGAAAGAAGAAGAATTATCATATTTTATTTCGGAACCAGTTATCACCCTAATTTTTTGTCCTACCCTAAGCAGAAAGGACCGGGTCGTTTCGAAAGATTCTCATAAGCAGAACTGCAAGTGGGAAGTGGGTGTCGCAATAGTTGAGTTTGTAAGAAAGAGAGTAGTTCCGCTTACCGTCGCGTCGCTCCTCTGTATTTCGTAGTCCCTCTGACGCAAGGACGTATCTCAATTCCTACGTGAGCTCTAATGTCCATTTAATTTCATGCTCTCCGGGGCTCTTGCGGAAATAGGGATACGCCCTTACGTCAGAGGAACGACGATTTGTCGTCTCCGAACAGGGGTGGACCGACAGGAAAAAAGTGTTAGGCGGTTACCGTGCATGTTTTGAAGGTCTTCCTCTCGGTTCATCCAGGTGCCCCCCCCCCCCCCAGTGCTGCCGTTTTATTCTATCAAAAGATTCCGAAATAATTCCGATTTCCGGAAACATATTCTGATTTGTCCAAGTTCCGAGAAAAATTCCGAAATACGCCCGGATTTAGTTCAGACGATCGT